TGATTTCCCAAAGCCTGTCCACTATCCACAAGGCACAAGTCACAAGTTTGATACAATATTCTCCACTAGCCTGGATGGTTGCATCTCCAACAATACTCAAGAAGCTCCACATCATTCAAAAGTCACTTGATTGGAACCCATTCACCCTGTCCATTACTGACACACATTGGCAGCAATGTGCATCATCAAAAGGGGCATTGCAATAATTCATAAGACTCCTCCAATACCACCTTTCAAACTTGCAAACTCTACCACCTGAAAAGACTGGAGTAGCAGTTATCTGGAAACACACCACCTGCAAATTCCCCTCCAAACCACACACCATCCAGGCTTGGAAACATACTGCCATTCCTCCACAGATACAGGGTTAAAATCCTGGAACTCTCTGCCAAAGAGCACTGAGCGTAAGTCAATACAGTGTGGAACTGGAGGAACACAGCAGGTCAGACTGCGTCAGAGGAGCAGGAAAGTTGACATTTCGGGTCAGGGCCTTTCATCCCAGTCGTGCTGAAGGGTCCTGACCTAAAACGTCAACTTTCCTGCTCCTCTGATGTTGCATGACCTGCTGTGTTCCTCCAGCTCCACACTGCATTGACTCTGACTCCAGCAGCTGCAGTTCTTACTATCTCTAAACAGAGTGTAATTATGGTTGATGGAGGCAGCTCAGCACCACCTTCTGAAGGGTAATTAGGAACAGGCAGTAAATGCTTGATCTCCCAGTGAAGCCCACATTGTGTGAGTAAATTTAAAATAAAACCTCTTAGAATCAAATTTTTTCTCAACCTGGCACAACAAAACCATCAGAAAGTAAGGGCAACAAACACCTTTGTGGAAACGGTAGGTCAGGCTGTGGAGAAATATTCAAACTATTCAGGGTTTTGAGGAGGTAAGTCATACAGTATGAGAAAGACTATTAGGACAACTGGGCAGGGTATCGGGCAGGGGGAGGGTAGGTACCAGACAGGTGTTCAATATGTAGAAGCATGTAGTAAAGTTTGAGTTGTGAGCTATCTTTGATTAGTACATCTCCTATGTACGAATAAAAGTTTAAACAAAGAAACCGGAGTCTGTTCTCGTCTTAAAGGAGGATTAAAAGGGTTAAGGTGACCCTTTCAACAATATGTGAAAGCAACGAGTTAGGCATAAAGTTCAACTTAAAGGGTATAATAACAGACCTGGCTAGAAACTGAGCATAGTTAGAATGAACTATGACAAGCGATAGGATCTTCAGAAGGGAAAGGAAAATTGGCTTGGGAAGTTGCAATATTAATGAAGGACCCAGCAATGGTAAAGCAGCTTAATTAGACAGTGGGAACAACATGGACAGATTGAGAGGCTGTTACTTAGCAACAATAAAATTTACAAACAAACCAGCTATCAAGAAGATTGAGGGGGGATCTTATAGAAACACATAAAATTATGAAGAGAATAGATAAGATAGAAGTAGAGAGGATGTTTCCACTGGCAGGTGAAGCTAAGACAAGAGGGCATAGCCTCAAGATTAGAGGGAGCAGATTTAGGACTGAATTGACAAGGAATTTCTTCACCCAGAGGGTTGTTAATCAATGGAATTCCTTGCCCAGTGAAGTAGTTGACGCTACTTCAGTAAACGTTTTTAAAAAAAAAGGTAGTTTTTTTTGAACAATAAAGGAATTAAGGGATACGGTGAGAACGCGGGTAAATGGATCTGAGTCCTCGAAAGGATCAGCCATGATCTTATTGAATGGCGGAGCAGGCTCAAAGGGCCAGACGGCCTACTCCTGCTCCTAGTTCTTGTGTTCTTAAGTCCATCTAGGCCCAAATAGCCTCACTTACAAAGGGACAATGATCAGAATGAGGAACACTTGGGTACACGTTAATTGTTCCTTGAAAATAGAATCGCAGGTAGACAGGATAGTGAAGGTTGTGTTTTGTATGCTTGCCTTTATTGGTCAGAACATTGAGTATAGGATTTGAGAGGTCATGTTGTAGCTGCACAGGATGTTGGTTCGGCCACTTTTGTAATACTGTGTTCAATTCTGGTCTCCCTGCTATATGAAGCAGGTTGTGAAAAGAATTAACAAAAGAATTACAAGGATGTTGCCAGGGAGAGGATGAATAGGCAGGGGCTATTTTCCCTGGAGTGTCAGAGGCTGAGGGGTGACACTATTGAGGTTATAAAATCATGAGAGGCATGTATAGGGTGAATAGCAAAGTCTTTTCCTCAGGATAGCAGAGTCCAAAACTAGAGGGGCATAGGTTTAAACATGTTAGGGGAAAGATTTAAAAGAGACCTGAGGGGCAACTTTTTCCACACAGAGGGTGGCGTGTGCATGGAAGGAGCTGTCGGAGGAAGTGGTGGAGGCAGGTACAATTACAGCATTTAAAAGGCATCTGGAGTGGTATATGAATAGGAAGGGTTTAGCGGCAAATGGGACTAGATTAATTTAGGATATCTGGTCAGCATGGATGAGTTGGACTGAAGGGCCTGTTTCCCTGCTATACAGCTCTTTGATCCTACGACTATGACTAGCTATTGTGATGCCTGAGAGGACATCAACGAACATCAAAGCCTTGTTCTACATTGCAATGTTTTGTCACACAAACCACAGTGTTTAAAAAACTGTTAATGTTGATACGATATAAATGATGATTCCATTACCTCATTTGTCTGTTGTGGAGTTATTGTATTTTGCTGGGAATATGGGTTAGAATCTCAAAACTACAGTATTTGACCCTTATCTTCTGACATCTCCTGCAAAGTTAGTCCTCGCCCACTGTCTTACTCACCATTACATTTGTGTAATTCAGATAAGCTGTTGTGTATCCAAGGGTACAATCTGCAACCAAGGAATTTCATATACACACCTCAGCAGTCAATAACCCTGTGGTTTGACAGCTGCTCTACTCTGCACATCTCCTCTGTTTCTATGACAGCCAAATTACAAAAATGCTGGACAACAAGGTGCAGGGCTGGATGAACACAGCAGGCCAAGCAGCATCATAGGAGCAGCTTGTCTTTGGCTGACCTTTGCTCCAAGAAAGGTCAACTCTGAAGGTCAGCGGTACTGTTTGTCTTGGTATAAAATTCCAATATTGAGCCTCTACTCAAGACCAGATATTGGCCTGGGTGACAAACTGACACTTCCATCTAGGAATTTTCATTTTAATTTATAAAGTGAATGTGTTTCCCTGCAATTTTGCATATAGGTCAGGTGCCAGTTTTTACAACAAAAACAAAGTTGCTGGAAAAGCTCAGCAGGTCTGGCAGCATCTGTGAAGGGAAAAAAAAACAGGATTAACATTTTGGGTCTGGTGACCCTTCCTCAGAACAGTTTTTACAAAATTATGGGACATTTCTCTCTTAGAGACTACACACCCACCACAGAGGTGAAAGTGTTAAATTATTATGGGGTTGTGGGGAAGGTGGATGCAGAATACCTTGACTAAGTTGCTTGGTTTTGTGCTGATCTGCTAACCCAGTGTTGCCCAACAGAACTCATTGACTAGACACAGGTGCGGCTGTTGTGACACTTTTATGAACGACACGCAATATTTAAAGTAGAAAACACTTCACTTTTTAAATTTGATTTTTCAAACCAACTTCTCAGAGTTGTTATCACACACCCCTGGAGCAGGTGGGACTCGAACCCAGGTCTCCTAGCTCAGCAATAGGGACATTACCACTGTACCACAAGAGCCTTCCATAGAAAACACCTTGCACACAATAAATTTGAGGCTGGGTCACTAAGTATATTCAAGGCTGGGACAGACTTTTAAACAGTAAACAAAAAATAGTTCCAGGAAAAGGGCAGGAAAGCGGAGGTGAGGATTATCAAACCAGCCATGATCTCATTGAATGGAGGAGTGGACTCAAAGGGCTGAAAGGCTCCAGCTTACGGATATTGACTTAACCAGACTCAGAAGGTTGTGGATCAACGTTTTGCTCCAGATACTTAAACACATTCAGTAGGTTGATATTTCATTGCAGAATTGAGTTCTGCCCTTCTCAAGAGGAACTGGAAGATAGTGATGTAGTGGCATTGTCACTGGACTAGCATGAAGGAAGAGGACCTGGCTAATGCTTTGGGAACATAGGTTCAAAGACCACCACAGCAACTGGTGGAATTTAAATCCAATTAATAAATCTCAAATTGAAATCTAGTCTCAAAATGGTGATCCAGAAACTATCATTGCTTACTGTCAAAACCCATCTGGCTCACTAATATCCTTCAGGGAAGGAAATCTGCCATCCTCACCTGGTCTGGCCTACATGTAACTCCAGACCCACAGCAATGTGGTTGACTCTCAATTGCCCTCTTCAGAGTTTGGGAAGTCACACAATTGAAGGACAATTAGGGACAGTCAACAAATGCCAGCTTCGCCAGCAATACCCACACCCACCAAATAATGCTTAAAAAGTACTGCTGGTTATTTTGGATGGTATGTTAAACTAAAATGCCATCTGCCCTTTCAAGTGGATGGGAAAAGAATGCATGGCACTACTTCAGAGAGAGACAGACCAGGAGTTCTACTTGGCATCCTGGGCCAATATTTAACCTTCAGTCAGCATCATTGAAACGGATTATCCAGTAACTTGTGCTTCTGTTTGCGGAAGCTTGCTGTGAACACATTGCTACAATGTACAAAATCCATAACCAGTGACAATACTAAATGAAATATATAAAAAGGTGTTAAAAACATTAAAAGATTTTAAATAAATGCACATCTTTGATAGAAAGATCTGCCCCCTTCAGTTACCAAAATGAATACATTGCACAAACTCTGATGTTTTGTAAAATGAAAAAAACAAGAGACCCAGTATGGTTCACCAACATACCATGGTTGTAAATAATATTGAGATCACATGGCTGGTGATGTATATTATTCATTTTTCAAACAGAAGTACAACAACCCACATCTGGAATCTCAATGGGTTCAAATCCCACCATGGCACCTACTGGAATTCAAATTCAATTAAGAAAATCTCCAATTTTTTGAAAAAAGCTAGTCTCTGAGGGTGACCATTAAACCATCATCACTTTAATAATCCATTCAAAATATAAATAAATGAAGAGGAACCTCAAAACGTTTTTAACATTTTTGCCTAGAAAACATTTCGGTCCCACAGTCATGAAAGGTGCTATACAGATACAAGTTTATCCTATTATCATTGCACACAAATTACAGGACTGTCTATTGCCCTTGGCTGACCTTTGCTCCCAAATAGCAGGAGAGAAAGATCAACTCTGTGAAAGGCAGTGATGCCATTTGACTTACTGTAGGATTCCAATATTGAGCCTCTATTTAAGGCTAGATATTGGCCTCAGTCACAAACTGACACATACATCTCGGTCGAGGCCCGAAACGTCAGCCTTCCTGCCCCTGTGATGCTGCTTGGCCTGCTGTGTTCATCCAGCTCTACACCTTGTTATCTCATACATCGAGGAATCTTCATTTTAATTTACAAAGTGAATGTCCTTCCTCTCAATTTTGCACATAGGTTGGATGTCAGTTTTTACAAAGTTATGGGACATGTGTCTCTCAGAGACCACACAGGCAAAAATGTTAATGCTCATGGGGGGTGATACCTTGACTAAGTTGCTGGGTTTTGTGCTGATCTGCTAACCCAGTGTTGCCGAACAGAACTCACTGACTAGACACAGGTGTGGCTATCGTGACACCTTATGAACAACACAATATTTATGGTAGAAAACACCTTCCACGCAATAGAGATGAATGTGGATATTTACTTAACCATCTGAGTCTGAAGACTCTGATCTGAAGTCCTGCTCCAGTTTTGTTACTGAATGTCTAAACTGGGTCAGGTTTCCTGCGGCATTTTATCCTGATGACCTGTCCAATCCAGACATCATTCAGTGCTCAGAGCCAGGAAGGACTTTTTTGATAAAACTTTCTAGGTCTCAATAAAAGTGGAGAAACTCTGCTGGTCTGTGGAGGAAGAAACAGAGTTAATGCTGAGTCCAGTGATGATTCTTCTGAGCTGTTTCAAAATCTGTTCTAAGAAGAATGGTACCAAACTCAAAACGTTAGCGATTTTCCCTCTCTCCACAGAATCTACCAGAGCTGCTGGGTTTCTCCAGCACTTTGTTTTTTTATTACAGATTTCTAGCACCTTAAGTATTTTGTTGTTTTTATTTAGCAGATTTTTGTTTCTAACCCATTTGAAACTTCTTAGAAGGCATGGTTTCATGGAGCAGGGCGGGGGGGGGGGTTGGAGGCAGTAGGCCATTTGGCTCATACAGCCTACTTCACCACTCACCTCAATTCATTCTCTCTCACCTGTATACACACAAATCTATGAATTTCGATTAGATCTCTACCCTCGAAGCCTATGACTGAATATAACTTGCATTTATATGGCACATGCCTCAAGGCATTTCACACAAATAGAAGTGTTAAAAGCTGACAGAGTCATAGTCGATTCAGGTCATTTAATTAAAAATCACTTTAAAAACGGGGCTTCTGAACCTCGCCCCAGTCCCCGTTCACAATCTGCCACTCAGCATTCCCCCCGAAATCCTCTGATTACACTGTACACTCAGTGGCTCCCACACAAAAGCTGGCTCCCAGTTTCTCTAACATTCACTGTGGACCAAATGCAAATTCTCCAGCATCGGCAGTTCCTACTATCTCTGTAACAATTACAATCCAATGTGTTATTTTTGCACATGTAAGTCTTCCCCTAGTTCCTTTTCATAGAGAGTCACTCCTTGTGCGGCCCCACCCCATCGCCTCAAATCCTCCTTTATTATTGTCCCAAAAAAAGGAAACGGTGAAATCTTCTTATGCACACACAATGTAGTAAAATGTCAGATTGAAATATTCAGTTGAAATACTCCGCACCCCAGTGGGATGGAGTGTCCCTCCTGTACTCGAGCTCCAGCAACCCTCAGCCACTTCCTCTCAAGGCTTTCCATACTCCAACTTTCCGGGAACCTCGCGTGGAATATTCATCTCACGACGAGCGGAGCCCCACATCCAGTCTTTGTTCCAAAATTCAAACCGAGAACCCACAATCTCCCCTCTTTCAGATAAACTGTTCAGAGTTTTAAAAAAAAAAATGATGCTTTTGAAATTGGGGAGGATTCCAAGTCGGTTCATCTTTAAATTGGGTGGGGGTGGTGGGAGTGGGGGAGAGAAACAGTGAGCCCTGGAAGTAGATTGCAGGTATTAACCCTTTAAACGGGTCGCAGGTATTAACCCTTTAAATCAGAAGGCACGGCTTGACCTGGCCACAGTTACTGATGGACGAATTTCTTTCATTTAGTGCAGGAGAAGCCTCTCGTTTCTGGACGGTCCCAAGGGCTGTAGCCCTCCCGGGAAAGGGTGGGGACGGGGGTGGGGGGGGAGGTGGTTGGGGTATCGAGCCCGGCGGGAGGTTCAGGACTGCGCTCCCCCGCTGTTGCCTGAATCGTTGTAGAAGCCGGGGCTCTCTGATAGACTGGTCCGGACTTTCTTCTTCTCTTTGAACCTGCCCGAGTTGGACACCCTCACATGCCTGCCTTTGGTGTTTTTGTCCACGATTTTCTCCAGGCGGGCTTCCAGCTCCGAGTCGGCCCGGCTCTCGGTCCCACCGTCACCCTCCTTACTGTCGGGACAGCTCCGCTCCCCCGGAATCTCGTACAGCACCTTCCCGCTGTTCTTCTTCTTGCGCAGGAAAGTGAGTTTCCACCAGCTGGGGGAAGCAGGTTCCCCCATCTCTCTCTGCATCTTCCCGTCCGCGTTCACCCTCTCTCTCTCACACACACACACACACACACACAGCTGTTACCGAAGGCTCCGGGCTCCCAGCTCCGGGACGGTCATGGCCTTTTCTCCCCCCTGTGTGGGAGAAACTCCAGTCTCAGGGAGTCTCCCAGTGCCCACGTCCCCACGGGGCAGCCTCTCGGTACCTATGACTGTGCCTCTCTCGCTCAGGCTGTGTGAGTATCTGTATACCTCCAACAGGTGGAAACGATCACACCTGCCCAGGTATAAATCCACCCAAACTCAACCCCACCCCCTCTTCTCTGTCACGTGCCCGAAATAGCGGTGGCTCATTGGCCAATGGGGAGTATTTTACATATTTGGGAGGGCGAGACTCTGAGTTACCAAAACTCTTTTCTTGCCACAGACCCTGACAGGGAGGGAATGTGGACCAGAGGGGGTCTGGGGGTCTGGGGGTTGTATGGGTTGTGTGGGTTTGGAGAGGGAGAGGGAGAGGGAGAGGGGGGTTGGGGAAGATTTGGGAAGGTGGTGTGGGATGTGGGTAGAAAGCGTGTATGGGGGGGGTTGTGGGGTGCAGTGTGTGTGGTTATCAGTTGAGATGCAGTTTGATGTGGGTTTGGAGAGGGTGTGAGGGGTTTGTGTTGGATGTGGATGGGGGGGTGCCTTTTGAATGGAAGGGGAGGGTGGAGGGTGAAGTTAGTGCCAGGTTTTCTGGGGCCAAGGAACCCTTCCTGCTGCTGTCTCCCAATGAGCTGTGGTGAACTAAGCGCCAGACAGGAAGCTGTTTTAAACAGCCATCCACGGGCATGATGGGCCAAAAGGCCTCCCTTTCTCTCGACATGTCCTGCATCCACAGAGGTGTTTCTCAAAATGCACTCATTGTCACTTCAGACAAATGCAGCAGCAGGTTTGTACACAGAAAGATCCCACAAACCACAAGGTAACTGTGGCATCTGACCTGCTTTTATGGTTCCTAAGGGGAATGCTCTGAAATTACTCATAGGATCATAGAGTAGACCCTTTGGCCCATCAAGTCTGTACCATCAAAACTACACTAAATCTATGTTAGTCCCATGTATCTCCACTAGGCCTATAGTTTTGAATGCTCATTTAAGTACTTTTCAAAAGGTTTCCCACCTGAACTACTCTCCCAGGCAGTGTATTCCAGACCCCTACCGCTGTCTGGTTGAAAAGATTTTTCCTCAAATCCACTCTAAACCTTTTGCCTTTCACCTTAAACTTCAGCCTCCTTAATATTGATTAAAAACTCCAAGATCCCTCTGAGTTTCCTAGTCTCCAGCCATTAATGGAGTATTCCCTTCTTCCTAAAATCTTCTTTCTCAATCTTTGTGTCACCTGCAAACTTACTGATCACCCCCTACATTCTCATTTATATTGTTTAGATATATCATAAATCCAGCACTGATCCCTGTAGTATGGCAGCAAACACTGAACCCTGTACAGCCACTGGTATCATGAAGAGTACAGACACTGAGCACAGAAGTTGTCAATTTAAATTTTCTTCATTGATCTGTGGTGTTCCTACATTGTGTTCCGTATCTTGTTCAGTCTAATGAGATCAGTCTGAGTCATGAACAAAAAGAAAAGGCTTCCTGCTGAGACGCTTGGGAAAGCCACTTGATTACATTGCTTCTCGAGTGTCTGTGGGTTTCAAATTGCCTCACGATGAGGGAATAACGTGGATTTTAAAGTGACGTCCAGAAGAAGCGAGGGTGATGCAAGAAAAGAACTTTTTCACCCAGCAAGTGGTTAGAGTATGGAATGCAATTCCTGGAAATGTAGTGGAGGCAGGCTCAAATGAAGCATTCAAGAGGGCGTTGGGTGGTTATTTAGAGAGAAATGGTGTGCAAGGGTATTGGGGGAAATCAGAAGTTTGGTGATGATCCTCATTTGAAGAGCAGTACAGGCATGATGGACTAAATGGCCTCCTTCTATGTCATTATAATTTTGTGATGTGGCTCTGAAAATGAGTGCATGTACATTTTTGACTGCTGTTTGAGCTCACTAAGTTACAAGGACTGAGATGATCCAATGGTGCTGTGGTTCAATCCCAGGCAATGAAGGTCGAGTTCAAGTCCCATCTCAGGATGTGATGGCCACGGGAATTTATCGTAATCCAATCAAACAGGTTGATCAAACAAAAATCTGAGGCCAGTCCTGAACCATCGTCACTTTCAGTGGCAGCCTCCATCACATCAGGGACTGTGATTGTTCACTTAAATACTCAGCAAAATTTTCAGCGGGTAGTACACTCACCTCTCAGTTGGAAGCTTGTGTGTTTACGTTTCCACTTGAGAGATTTGAACCCGTTTTCCTGGCTGACACTCCCTGAACAGTTAATGAGTGAGTGCTGCACAATTCCACTTTGCTTTAATTCATTCATGGGATGTGGGTGTCACTGGCTTAGCGAGATACCAGCCTAAAGGTGCTAGCTTGATTGACCAAGGTCCCATTTAGCCTCAAAAAAAGTCCCATTTTGAGTAAGAGAAGGGTGTTCTCCTCAGTACCTTGGCTAGCATTTATCCCTCAGCGGACATCACCAATTATCTGGTCATCATCAGTGTTTTTGGGATCTTGCTGTGCAGTGAATGTTTGCTTCATGACCAAACCCCAAAAGTACAACAATAGTTGTAAAGTGGTTTAGAACATATTGAGACTGTAAAGGGAACTATATAAATGCAATCAGAGATAGTAGGAACTGCAGATGCTGGAGAATCCGAGATAACAAGGTGCAGAGCTGGATGAACACAGCAGGCCAAGCAGCATCATAGGAGCAGAAAGGCTGACGTTTCGGGCCTAGACCCTTCATCAGAAATGGGGGAGGGGAAGGGGGTTCTGAAATAAATAGGAAGAGAGGGGGAGGCGGATAGAAGATGGATAGAGGAGAGGATAGGTGGAGAGGAAACAGACAGGTCGAAGAGGCGGGGATGGAGCCATTAAGGTGAGTGTAGGTGGGGAGTTGGGGAGGGGATAGGTCAGTCCAGGGAGGACGGACAGGTCAAGGGGGCGGGATGAGGTTAGTAGGTAGGAGATGGGGGTGCAGCTTGAGGTGGGAGGAGGGGATAGGTGGGAGGAAGAACAGGTTAGGGAGCCAGGGACGAGCTGGGCTGGTTTTGGGATGCGATAGGGGGAAGGAGAGATTTTGAAGCTTGTGAAATCCACATTGATACCATTGGGCTGCAGGGTTCCCAAGCGGAATATGAGTTGCTGTTCCTGCAACCTTCGGGTGGCATCGTTGTGGCACTGCAGGAGGCCCAGGTTGGACATGTCATCTGAGGAATGGGAGGGGGAGTTGAAATGGTATTTCATGAGCTTCAAAATCTCCCCTCCCCCTATCGCATCCCAAAACCAGTCCAGCTCGTCCCCGGCTCCCTAACCTGTCCTTCCTCCCACCTATCCCCTCCTCCCATCTCAAGCCGCACCCCCATCTCCTACCTACTAACCTCATCCCACCCCCTTGACCTGTCCGTCCTCCCTGGATTGACCTATCCCCTCCCCAACTCCCCACTTACACTCACCTTTACTGGCTCCATCCCCGCCTCTTCGACCTGTCTGTTTCCTCTCCACCTATCCTCTCCTCTATCCATCTTCTATCCGCCTCCCCCTCTCTTCCTATTTATTTCAGAACCCCCTTCCCCTCCCCCATTTCTGATGAAGGGTCTAGGCCCGAAACGTCAGCCTTTCTGCTCCTATGATGCTGCTTGGCCTGCTATGTTCATCCAGCTCTGCACCTTGTTATCTCTATATAAATGCAAAATCTTTCTTCAGCCATGTCACAGGTGGCAGACAGGTAAACAATGACAAAAAGGAGAGTTTTCCTTTGTCACAGTCATGGAGGAAGTGATTTGTGACTTTGGTAAGGGCTATTTCAATGCAGTGGCAGGTGTGGAAACCAGTTTGGAGACATTCAAAATGGAGTTGCAGAAAAGCTGGGAGTCAACAACATATTCAAAATCTCTGAAGAGGGAAGAAATTGGAGATAGGAAGGTAGATTGATACCTTAATGCTATTCTTCAATTACTCAGAATCCAACCAACCCAATCAGGTAGATTTTGTAAACAGTTTGAATTACTTTGTATCACTTTATTATGAGTGAGTGTTATAGCTCTGACACCTGAATTGAGCTGGACACCACCCAGATCAGTGTGGCTATGTACCGGCCAACCTTCACAACAAGGCAACATTTCACCAGGTGACTCAGCAAGGTGTTTTGCTCAACAAGTCCCCTGAGGCCAATTAAACTAATATTGCCAGGGTTAGTCATGTTAATAAAAGCTCCATTCTCCACTGACATTTGTTGATTGTTGCACCTGGGAACTTGCTGCCTGAGAAATAAGACAGGAGATAAAACAAGCCATGGGTGCACCGAGAACAATCTTTCCATTCACTAAATAAAAACTGAAAGAACTGCAGGAACAAATACAGAAGTTGCTGGAAAAGCTCAGCAGGTCTGGCAGCATCGGTGAAGGAAAACTCAGAGTTAATCAGAACTGAGGAAGGGTCACCGGACCTGAAATGTTAACTCTGATTTATTCTTCACCAATGCTGCCAGACCTACTGAGCTTTTCCAGCAACTTCTGTATTTGTTCCTGCTTTACATCACTATCTTGACATCCTGTATGACCCATGTTTGCACTTGGAGTGTTTGATGGGGACAGCGTAGACAGGGCTTTATTCTGTATCTGACCCCGTGCTGTCCCTGTCCTGGACTGTTTCATCATGAAATGGAAAGTCTGCATTACTCCAGCAACTATTCCTGATTTAAAGGTAAAGTCGCTATAGTCTTACCAGATCATAGGATTGCTCTCAGAGAGAGAGAGAGAGACACACACAACTGGAGACTGTGTTTTACTTTCAGTTAAAAGAGTAGAGGAGGCTTTACTCTGTATCTAAACTACAAGACAGTTGACCCTTAACTGTACTGACTACAATAACAGTTAGGGATGGACAACAAATGCAGTAGCACCCTTGTCCCATGAAAATATATTTAAAAAGAAATTGCAGTACTTGTGGGAATGAAAGAAATAAAGAAGCAAAAGAATTATCCTATTTCCAAAATATTTATATCACTGACCTTGAAATAAACATGTCTGTAAATTAACTCACACTAGAAATAATGAGCAGCAGATCTCATTATTTAAGATTAATCTTAATTACATTATTCATTACATGACCATTACATTTTTCATTCGTAATAAAAATTCTGATTCTCATGTTGCTGGGGTGATACTTGTATCTTCTGTCTCT